TATGGTTTCCTGTCGTACATTTAAGTCCTTTATCCATTTTGAGTTTATTTTTGTGTATGGTGTAAGTTGGTGGTCTAGTTTCATTTTCTTGCATATATCTGTCCAATTTTCCCAACACCATTTATTGAAGAGACCTTCTTGGCTCCATTGTATGTTCTTGCCTCCTTTGTCAAATATTAATTGAGCATATTGGTTCGGGCCATTAATGTCTAACTCTTAAGATGTGAAGATGCATAAGAGACCCATGGAGAATTGTCTCCCAACATAGGTTGAGATTCTTTTTTACCTTTTTAAAAAAATATTTATTGATTTCAGAGAGGAAGGGAGAGGGTGAGAGAGATAGAAACATTAATGATGAGAGAATCATTGATCGGCTGCCTCCTGCATGCCCCACATTTGGGATCAAGCCTGCAACCCAGCATGTGCCCTACCGGGAATCAAATCGTGACCTGAGCCACACCAGGTAGACTTTTTAAAAATATATATATATATATTTTACTGATTTTTTACAGAGAGGACGGGAGAGGGATAGAGAGTTAGAAACATCAACTCTATCCACTGAGCTAAACCAGTTAGGGCCCAGGTGGGCTTTTTTTTACCTTTTTTCTTCCCTTCCCTTCCCTTCCCTTCCCTTCCCTTCCCTTCCCTTCCTTCCCTTCTTTCCCTTCTTTTCTTCCTTCCTTTCCTTCCTTCTCCTCCTCCCCCCTCTTCTCCCCCTCCTCCAACTCCTCTCCCCTCCTCCCACAACTCCCCCTTCCTATTCCTCCTCCTCTTCCTTTTTTTGCATATGGTTGTCTAATTGATCTAGTACAGCCGTGGGCAAACTACGGCCCGTTTGAAATGAATAAAACTAAAAAAAAAAAGACCATACCCTTTTATGTAATGATGTTTACTTTGAATTTATATTAGTTCACACAAACACTCCATCCATGCTTTTGTTCCGGCCCTCTGGTCTAGTTTAAGAACCCATTGTGGCCCTTGAGTCATAAAGTTTGCCCACCCCTGATCTAGTGCAATTTGTCAAAAATACTATCCTTTTTTCATTTAATTACCTTGGTACTTTGTCAAAAATCAATTGACCATATATGTGTGAATCTATTTCTGAACTCTATTCTGTTCCATTGATCTATTTGTCTGTCCTCTTACCAACACTATACTGCCTTGAATACTGTAACTCAGGAGTTAGTAAACTGTTTCTGTAAACAATGGGTTACCTATAATTCCTGTTGCATACTTTTCTTTGTTTCTTTTTCCAAACATTTAAAAACATAAAAAAAGCATTTTTAGTTTCTATGACTTACAAAAACAACCTCCAGGTTAGATTTGGTCCATGGGCCATAGTTTGCCAACGCTGCCGTAGCTTTATAGTAAGTCTTAAGATCAAATTGTTTGAATCATCCTACTGTGTTCTTCCTTTCTTTCTCCTTCCCTTCCTCTCTCCCTCCCTCTCCCCCTCCCTTCCTTCCTTTCTTTCTTTCATTTTTAATTTTTAAAAATTGGTTTTGAGCCTGGCCAGTGTGACTCAGTGGTTGAGCATTGATCGACCTATGAACCAGGAGGTCCAGGAGGTCACAGTTCAATTCCCATCAGGGTACATGCCCAGGTTGCGGGCTTGATCCCCAGTGTGGGGTGTGCAGGAAGCAGCCAATCAATGATTCTCTCTCATCATTGATATTTTTATCTTTCTCTCCCTCTCCCTTCCTCTCTGAAATCAATAAAAAATATTTTTAAAAATTGATTTTGAGAGAAAGATAGATTTATTGTTCCACTTATTTATGCATTCATTGGTTGATTCTTGCATGTGTCCTGACCGGGGATCAAACCTACAACCTTGGTGAATCAGGACAAAGTTCCAACCAACTGAGCTATTTGGCCAAGGCCAACTGTGTTCTTTTACAAAAATTTTTTGGCTATTTTGTGCTATTGCTTTTTGATACAAATGTTATTATTAGTTTGCCAATTTCTAGAAAATAGGCTGCTGGGATTTTAATTGGGATTGCATTGAATCTATAGATCAATTTGGGAAGAACCAACATTTAACAGCATTGAATCTTCCAATTCATAATTCTGATGTATCTCTCCACTTATTTAGATCTTATTCTTGTGGTATATTTTAAAACCCGATGAAACATTAGATTTAAACACACATTTATCACTTTACTTGTTTTTCATTCCTTCTCTATCTCTTACAATCTGGTTTCATTTTCCTTCCGCATGAAAAATTTGTTTGCATTTTCTTTACTATAGGTCTGCTGGTGGCATGTTCACTTTTTATCAATCTGAAATGACTTTATTTTGCCTTCTGTATTAGTTACATGGCTGCATAACAAATTACTCCAAAACTTAGTGACTTAAAACAATAAAAATTATCTCACAATTTCTGTAAATTAGGAATGCTGGGGGAGCTCAACTGGGTGGTTCTGGCTCAGCATCTCTAATGAGGTTTCAGGACATTTATTGGCTGGTGCTTCATGTATGGGAAGGCTTGTTTAGGGCCAGAGGAGCCACCTCCAAGATGGCTCACTCACATGGCTGTTTGCCACAGATCTCAGTTTCTCACTATGGACCTCTCCACAGGGCTGCTTGAGTGTCCTCATATGGCAGGGGTCTTCCTTCAGAGCAGCTGAATCAAAAAAGAGCAAGGTAGAAGCTACAATATCTTTCATGACATGGATTCCTAGGTCACATAACATCATTTTTGACCTATTCATTAGTCACTAAGTCCAGTACACATTCAGGGGCATAAAAATTAGGCTCCATATTTTGACCCCACCAGTGTGTCTCAGTGGTTCAGCAACAACCTAGGCACCAGGATGTCACCGATTCGATTCTTGTTCAGGGCACATGCCAGGTTATGGGTTTGATCCTTATTGAGACCATGCAGAAGGCAGCTGATTAATGTTGATATTCTCTCATTGATGTTTCTATCTCTTCTTCACCCTTCCTCTCTCTTCCTCTCCCTCTCTCTCGTCAATAAAAACACATTTTCAAAAAATAGGCTCCACATTTTGGATGGAGTGTCAAATGTATTCAAACCACCAAATCTTTCTTTCTTTTCATTTTTCCCTTTTCTCCTCCCCTTCCTCCTCTTTTTGCTTATCCTCTTTCCTTCACCTCCTAATACTACCGTTGAACATTCCTCTCCAATCCTTTTGGGTCTGGAAACCTTAAGAGAATTCTAGAGGATACGCTAGAAAAATAATCTAGAATGTTTTTCTTCAATTCTTTTACCACTAATTTATTTCTCATGCCTACAATGCATTGGTTATTAAGTCTAACATATTCTATATATTAGAGTCTCTAGCATTTCCCTGTTAAGCAAACTATTGCTTTTCTGCTAAGAATTTTTTTTCATTTTGAGAAAGTACCCATTAATTCCCATTTTTCTAAATGTTTTAAATCAAGAATAAGTATTTATCAAATGCATTTTCGTATTTATAAAGCTACCCATGATTTTCTATTTAGATGACCCCACTGGTTTGGCTTAGTGGTTCAGTAGTTCATAATATGATTTATATTAGATTTTCTAATATTGAACCTTATTTCCATTCCTAAAATAAACTCCATTTGGTCATATATTCTTTTTAAAAAATAACTTTTATTTATTTATTTTTAAATATGTTTTTATTGTTTTCAGAGAGAGGAAGGGAGAGGGATCAAAAAATCAATGATGCAACAGAATCATTGATCAGCTACCTCTTGCATACCCCCTACTAGGGGTCATGACCACAACCCAGGCATGTGCCCTGACAGGGAATCAAACTGTGACCTCCTAGTCCATGGGTCAGTGCTCAACCACTTAGCCACACTGGCCAGCTGGTCATAATATATTCTTCTTTCAGTGTGCTTTTGGATTCTGTTTGCTAAAATTTTATTTAGGAGTTTTGTATTGATATTTTTAAATGATATTGGCCTATTTTTCTTTATTCTTACAATTGTTATTATATTTTGATATCAATATACTTATATTTTCTTTTTGAAATGAGTTTGTTCTTTTTCTAGGCTATGGAGCATTTTCAAAAATCACTGGAATCATTTGTTCTTTAAAGGTTAGTAGAGTTGTTGAATTCCCCTATAAAACAGTGAACCTGATGTTTCTTACGTTTTCTGGGGGGAGGGAGAAGGGTGTTTGACAAATTTTATCTAATTATTTTGACAAAATTATTTCTTAAAAGTTTTATTGTAACTTTTATAACATTATATCTATATGCTATATTATGCATAATATTATATTCAAATTATTTTGAAAAATTTATGCAAATTGGTCTATTTTGGTTTTCTATCTTTAGTTTCTGATGAAATTATATATTTCATACAGATTTTCAAATTTATCTGCATAAAATTGTATAAGGTATTCTTTTTTGTTTTTGTTTTGTTTTCTACTTTCTAATATTTGTGTGACTATTTCCCATTTGTAATTTCTTATTTTGGATTTTAGTGCATTTCCTTCATTATGATTAACTTAGCTTGTGACTTACCTAATTTATTGAACTTTTTAAAAGAATAAGCTTATTTATTTATAAGTTCTATATTTTGATAGGACCACAACCCAGGCATTGTATTTATCTTTATTTTTCTTTTGCTTTCCTTTGGTTTATTTTATAATTCTTTTTCTTGTTTCTTAAGCCAGCTGTTTATTTCATTTATTTTTCTTTTATTTATGTTGATATACTTATTTAAGGTGGTGAATTTTTCTTTGAGTACTATTTTAACTATATTCCTAGATCCTTCTATATATGCTCATTATTATTGTTTACTAGAAATTCTGCAGTTTTGAATTTGTATTTTCCATTTGATTATGGATTTATTTAATATATACCCACACACACATTCAAATAGAAGGGCACTCTTTGTTTTTAAATGCTAGTGTGTTATAAATGTCAATGTTTATTGTGTTATTATAGAATGCTATCTATATTATTTTTACTGTGATGATTTAATGAGATTTGGTTTATGGCCTAACATATAATCTTTTGTGTGTACAAATATTTCAGACCACTTGATAAGAAAGTATATTCTCTATACTCAGGGCATAATGTTTGATACGTATCAGTAACATCTACCTTATTGATTATATTGTTTGGACTTCTAAATTCTCATTTAATTTTGACTACTAGATTTGTTTGGAATTGGGCAAAGCAAATCAAAGTCTTCTATTATTAGTGTGTCTTTGTCTAAATCTCCTTGCATTTCTATAGTTTCTATTATATGAAAGTTCCTGCTGTATTATTTTGTGCATATATACTCATATCTTAAATTCTTACGGTAAATTGTAGCCTTTAGCATTAAAAACTACTTCTCTTTATTTTGCTTAAACTTTTTGTACTGAATTCTATGTTGTCAGATATTAAGAGTTTTAAAGTTTGTATTTTTCTTGTATGCTTTTCTTTGCCCATCCTTTCATTATTAAGCTTTCTGAATTATTTTGTCTTATATGTATACAGCCTATAGTTGGATTGGGCTTTGCAATCTATTTTGAAAACTATTTTTAAAGTAGATGAGTTAGCCCCAGCTGGGTGGCTCAGCTGGTTGGAGCATTCTCCATACACCAGGAGAATGTGGGTTTAATTGCTGGTCAGGACACATACCTAGGCTGCAGGTTCTCATCCCTGGTCGGGGTGCATTTCTTTTTCTCTCTTTCTCTCCCTCCCTCCCTCCCTCTAAAAAAGTAATAAAAACATACTTTCAAGTGAGGACTTAAAAAATTACAAATAAATAAATAAAATAGATGAGTTAAACTAATTTATATTTATTGAGATAACAGATATATTTGGTCTCGATTCTATACTTTTTAATGTGTTTTCATTATGTAGTTGCCCTTTTTCTTAATGTGGTTCTGATATTTAGGAAGGTTTGTATTTTTGTTCTAGAAGTTACCTTTATAAAATACTGTTGATCCACTCTCTTTAGGGACTGTATCTTCTAAATACCTACTATGAACAATAATAAAATTATCTTGTAATCTCATCCTCTCCCCCTGACCCCTTCTGCGTAATACAATCAATGGAATTATCAATCCTAGTGTTTATGTTAAATATGCTTAAGCTTCTACTTTATTTGGAATTTTTAAATAGTATCCTTTGAATCAATTAATTTGAGGTGATCAGTGAGCTTATTCTTTTTAAAAATATATGTTTTTATTGATTTCAGAGAGGAAGGGAGAGGGAGAGAGAGAGTTAGAAACATCAGTGATGAGAGAGAATCATTAATGGGTTGCCACCTGCACACTCCACACTGAGGATCGAGCCTGCAACCTGGGCCTGTGCCCTGACCTGGAATCGAACCCGTGACCTCCGGATTCACAGATCAATGCTCCACCACAGAGTCATGCTGGCCGGGCAGTGAGCTTATTCTTATTCCTATCTTCTCTCTTTCTTCTTCAGTTTTTTATTAGTGATGAGAAATATCTATCATATTAAGGAATGTAACATCTGCATTCTGATCTGTCATCCTAACCTCTGTGTTGGTTTTACTCTCATTTCTGTAGTCAAATACATTTCATGCTCAGGGAGGGGCCTTTTATCTGTATTTCCTCAGACTCGCTCAGTAGTACTGAGATTGCTGTTCCATGGCCCGAGTAGGTTCCTCAGAAAAGGCTCATATTTCCTGATTTCTTACAGTTTTCAATATGTTTGTCTATAGGCTTTATACTTAAACTTTACTTTTCTCTGAGTGTCGTATAGGCTTTATACTTAAACTTTACTTTTCTCTGAGTGTCGTATAGGCTTTATACTTAAACTTTACTTTTCTCTGAGTGTCTTGTAGGCATTGCTTCACTGTTTTGTGCCTTGAACAAGTGTTGGAGGGGTGGAAAGGTGTGGCCAGGGGAATTCTTTCTGTTGCCACAGCGACAAACTTCAGACATGGCCTCTGTGAGTAGTCACCTCTTCTCTGGATTTCAAAGCGTGGTTGATGAGAGCTTCTCTGTCCATCTCTCTTTCCCAGATTTCTTTACAGCCTTTGTTTCTAAGAGAAGGCGCCCACTTTTCTTTTTCCAGTGCTTTCCATTGTCCCTAGCAATCTTTCTTTGTATGATTTAGGACTTGTTTTCATAGTTCCCTTTCAAAGTGGGGTTTTCCCGTTCTGGAAGGGAATAATAACAATAAGAGCTTTCTAAGCTCTCTGAGAGTCTACCTCCCCTTCTCATTCAAGGTTTTTCACCAGGTTTCCTACTCTTTCTCACCTTTGGCAGCTCCTGACAAAACTTTGGAGGCTGCAGCTGGTTTCTCTATTTGTCGTTGTTCTTGTTGAGTGTGAGTCAATTCAGAGCTAAACTCCTGCTCTAAAACAAAATATTCTTCTACTTAATTATACTTTAAAAATTTGATGAATGCCACTGTGACTTGTCCTTTCAACTAAACTTCCATGGACATCTAGGTTTTATTTTACTCCTGATAAACTCCTAGAAGTGGAATTCCTGGTTCAAAGAACTGCACACTTTTAAAGCTTTTACTATGTTTTGCCAAAGTACCTTCTTGGACCTAAGTTACCATACCTACCAGCTGCAGGCTTCCTCTTTAAAGCAGGTAAATAGTGCAAGGCTGCACTGAATGCTCTCACATTTTTTAATTCCTTTGTTAGCATCATAATTAGCTAGTTAATATTAATAAAAGGAAGACAGCACATACATGAAGAAGCCATCAATGTTTCTCTCTCAGACCGATGTTTCTCTCTTTTCCTTTCTCTCTAAAATCAATAAATTTCCTTGTGTGAGGATTATATATATAAATCCCAGGTAATGTGGGAACAGAGGACACAGTTGGTATTTCTGTATCAAAAGGCATGAATGTTTAGCCTGTTGTAAATGTAAGTGTAAGGTTGGTTTTTTTAAAAAATGAATTAAACAAGTCTTCTCTCTGAGGGAAACCTGTGCGAAATTGATGTTCTTTTTTTTTTAAAATATATTTTATTGATTTTTTACAGAGAAGAAGGGAGAGGGATAGAGAGTTAGAAACATCGATAAGAGAGATCGACCAGCTGCCTCCTGCACACCCCCCAGTGGGGATGTGCCCGCAACCAAGGTACATACCCTTGACCGGAATCGAACCTGGGACCCTTGAGTCTGCAAGCCGACGCTCTATCCACTGAGCCAAACCGGTTCGGCAAAATTGATGTTCTTATAACAGCAGTCAAGTGGCTGCTTTTACCTAACTGAAATGATGTTCAGCATTCAAGATCACAGAAAGTTAGAGTTCTTCGCTATTTTGTACACCTTGGGCCATACCAGGAGAAGTTCAGTCCGAGTGCCTTATTTTAAGCACAGCATTGATGAACTAAAGTGCTCAAAGGGAGGGAAGGAGGAGGAGAGCTGGAGATCAGGTGATGTGGGAGCAGAGGACACAGTTGGAGAGGCCCTATGCTTGTCTTCAGATCTTTGAAGAGCTGTTTTGTAGAAGATGGTTTATTTTCTGCTTTTCAAGGCAGGCATAGGGCCAAAGAGTGAGAGCTATATAAAGTCAGATTTTATCTTTAAATAGAAGAACTTTAAACAAGTAGAGCTGTCTGAAAAATACTAAATACCCCTTGGGTTGAACTGAGCCCCGGTCATCTCACATCTATAATAGGTTCATGATTGAACTAGATAACTAAATATTTTACAATTAAATACACACACACACACACACACACACACACACACATATGCACAGCTCTTTGTTTTTAGAAAGTCTCTTTTGTTATTCTGACCAGTAGTTTTATAGAATAAGATTCTATAGCTACTCATCTTAATCCCGGTTTGATTTCTGAAACCTGTTGCCTGCCTATCTGCTGTTAACTTCTATTCACATAAGGTATAAATAATAGCGAAGCAACAAAAATCCTTTATGTTTGTGTTCATCCTCATTTTTAAAATATTCATATTTTAATTGTTTCTCTTTTTATTGATTTCAGAGAGGAGAGAGAGAGACATCAATGATGAGAGAGAATCATTGATTGGCTGCCTCCTGCATGTCCCCTACTGGGGATCGAGCCCTTGACTGGAATCAAACATGGAACCCTTCAGTCCGCAGGCTGACGCTCTAGCCACTGAGCCAAACCAGCTAGGGCTAGT